TAGGGAAAATCCAATCCTTGATCCTCTGATCCTTGGCAGGAAGGTCACAGTCAAACCAATGCTCGTACTCAGGACCCTGAATCTTTACAAAGTGACTCACGGAGTCATCAAACTTTATAATTCATCTCAGAAGCATCCTGTCCTGTGTCAGAACGAGCACAGTGGCTGTGACCCCCCTACCCAGTTTCTTCCTGAGACAGGACGTGGTTGAAGTTTCAGATGTCTGATATTTTTCAGCTCCTACCTACTTCTCAAGATTGATTTTTCTTGTTTGTCTTTGTTTTTAAGACAGAGTCTCATCTATCCCAGGCTAGGCCAGGATCACCTTGAACCTCACAAGCCCTGCCTGGTATTACAGACTCATACCATGGTGCACAGTTTTAGGTGGTGTTAAGGAGCCCAGGACTCCAGGTGTGCCCAGCAAGCACTTCACCAACTAAATTACAGCTCTAGCCCACAAGCCTGATTCAAGGCTCCCCGTCAATTCTTAGAGTTGCTCAATATCATTCAGGAAATTCTTCTTCCTTGTAAGTGATCAGAGTCCATTTCTGTTGTCTGAAATGAAGAGCCTTAATTAGTACAAAGATCTATTGAAAGCGTCAGTGAGAGGAAATGACATGCATTTTATGGGAGAGGAAAATAGAAAGTTCTAATGGGGATGGATTGAAGAGGGAGAAAAGAGAGGCGTCATGTGTGAGAGGTATGGAGAGCATTGACCTTGGGAGTAGGATAACCATGTGTGAGAGGTATGGAGAGCATTGACCCTGGGAGTAGGATAACCATGTGTGAGAGGTATGGAGAGCATTGACCTTGGGAGTAGGATAACCATGTGTGAGAGGTATGGAGAGCATTGACCTTGGCAGTAGGATAACCATGGATATAAATATGGGAAGGAAAAAAGTAGGAGAATCCAAGTTGACAGCAATTTTGAGACTGGATAGGTAGGAGATGTTACAAAGAGAAAGAAGCCGTTTACAGAGAACTGGCTTTCATTTATTCAGCAAATATCAAATGTCTGTTGTATACCAGGGACTGAGAGGCATCAAAAATAGCAGTGTGTGTTGATATTTTATGACCTAACAAATAAAGCAAAGCTAGCCACACTCGTTAGCCATAGAGGCCAGGCAGTGGTGGCACATACCTTTAATACCAGCAGCCACACTAGTTAGCCATAGAAGCCAGGAAATAGGGGTGCATACCTTTAATCCCAGCACTTGGGAGACAGAGGCAGATGGCCACCCTGAACTGCACAAAATTGATCCAGTCTAAAAGAGAAACAGCTCACACAAAGGTGATTTCAGAACTAGGGATCTCATGCCTTGAATCCCAGCACTGGAGAGGACTATAAGGTGGGCGGAGAGGGCAGTGCGAGGGTTGGTGGAGACAGATGCAGTCTAGAGATGCGGTCTGAAGACAGGATCGCCCTTTTGGTCTGCGCATTGGTAGAGGTGGGAACTCTCTAGTGGCTGGCTACTTTGCTTCTCTGATCTTCAGCTTGAACCCCAATATCTGTCTCAGGTTTTATTATTAATGCCAATTAGAATTAGTGCTACAGCAGTGGAAAAAAAAGATTGTTCTTTGATGAATAAATACACACCTAAACAATGAATCTGCATTAATAAAATTTGCTTTGGAGTACTGTACACCCACTGCAAAACATCTGGCTGAAAGGTAGAATTTCAAAACAGATCTTAGGAAGGACAGCTGGGCCAAAGACAAAGATTAGCTGTCACTTCTATAGATGCTCATCTATTCATTTGCTTATTCAACCATATTTATTGAGTGTCTACTATGTACTCAATTCCATTCTTCAAATTAGAAACACAGAGACTACACACATACACGAGAGAGAGAGAGAGAGAGAGAGAGAGAGAGAGAGAGAGAGAGAGAGAGAGAGAGAGAGAGAGACGGAGGGAGGGAGGGAGGGAGGAAGGGAGGGAAGGAGGGAGAAGAGGTGGACTTGATGTGAAATGTCAACAAAATGAAGGCCTCTATGAGTCCAGGGATTTTTCGATACAAAGATCTGGAAAAGTGGATGTCACTTAGCAAAGGAAAAGGATAAAGGAATTTCCCTAAAGCTCCAAAGGGAGTGGCATTGTTTTCAGCCTTTGTCCCCTTTCTTTTTGAGTCATTTCATTCAAAAGTCATGAGAGAGGTGGGACCAAGCAGTGTGCAGTGTCCATGTTGGAGGGCAGAGGGGACCGTGGAGGGGCAGGGTTCCTTGTGCAGTGTCCATGTTGGAGGGCAGAGGGGACCGTGGAGGGGCAGGGTTCCTTGTGCAGTGTCCATGTTGGAGGGCAGAGGGGACCGTGGAGGGGCAGGGTTCGTGAAGCCCGTCATGGAGGAAGACAATGTCTGCAAGGGGAGTGGATGGAGTGGGGTGGCCAGAAAAGAGATAGAATACAAAGGGGAAGGGAGAAAATGAAGACAAACTGTGTTTTGTGAGTGGATTAAAGGCGAAGCCATGGTTTTCTACACTGGCATGTCCGTCAGTGACGATGGATAGATTGTGTTGGTAGATAGAAGATAGGCTGACAGATACACAGACATTTGTTTGTATAATAAAATGCATTTCCTAACACTGTCCATGGAGACATTGAGGCAGTGATATGGGGGAAAGGTCTACAACCTTTCTGTCATCTTCTAAATTGTCCCGGTCATGAAAGTAAAGCTTTGTAATTGTGTCAGATGGAAGGACACTAGGAAGACAAAATTCAGCATGATGAATACTTTTGAATCAGATCCTTTGTCACAAAGGATAGCATTGGCCCAAATGACTAATAGGAGCTGGGAGTTGAGCAGCATTGGTGCAGCAATGCTAATTTCCTGATTGGAAGCACCTCATTGGGTTAGAAGGAGGATGTCTATTTGCAGAACATGTACGTGTCTAAAGCACTAGGGTAACTTACCTGCAGGGTTCAGCAAAGGAGAGCGTTCTCCACAACTGTTCTAACGTTTCTGTGCCTTTTAGATGGTTTCCATGTATTTCGGTAGGAGACCGCTCACCTAGCATCTGTGAATCTCTGCATTCGATCCCCAGTATCCGGCAAGTACAGGCAGGCAAAAGGAGCAGTCACGGAGGCAGAGAAGAGGGAGAGGAAAACCAAGCAGAAGGATGTCCAAAAATGTCACTTCTGGGTCACAAGAGAGGGCAGTCGATGCTCATGGGTGCAGAGACCAAGGAAGGTGAAGAACAAGAAGAAAGCATTGGGCTTTTGGCCAGTTTTCTGTGTTGTTCACTGTGGCAGCACCTTCATACATTTCTTGGAATGGAAAATAACAATTCCATCATCCCACCCACAGATAACACTGGATGCATACAGACTCAAGGACTGCCTTAGTTAGGTTTCTATTGCTGTGAAGAGACATGGCAACTCTTAAGGAAAACATTTAATTGGGGCTGGCTTACAGTTCAGAGGTTCAGTCCTTTATTATCAAGGCCAGAAGCAGATACGGAGCTGTAGAGGAACTGAGAGCTCTCTATCCAGATCCCCATGCATCAAGAAAGGAGAGACTCTAGACTGAGCTTCTGAGACCTCAAAGCCAACCCCCAGTGCTACACTTCCTCTACCAAGGCCACACCTCCAATAATGTCCCTCCCTTTCTAACAACTTGTTTGTTTCAGTTTCTATGACACTGGACACCTGTTCCCATTACAAACTATTAGGATCAATCTTTTTCTTTTTAAATTTTTTTTTTCTGGGCGGGCTGGAGAGATGGCTCAGAGGTTAAGAGCACTGACTGCTCTTCCAGAGGTCCTGAGTTCAATTCCCAGCAACCACATGGTGGCTCATGACCATCTGTAATGAGATCTGGTGCCCTCTTCTTCTGGCCTGCAGACATGCAGGCAGAATACCATATGCATAATAAATAAATAAATAAATTTTTGCTGAGCAGAATGGAGCACACCTTTAATCCCAGCAGTAGGGAGGCAGAGGCCAGTGGATATTCGAGTTCAGGGCCAGCCTGGTCTACAGAGTGAGTTCCAAGACAGCCAGGGATACACAGAGAAACCCTGTCTAACACACACACACACACACACACACACACAATTAAATTTATTTATGTGTGTTAGCATTTTGATTGCATGTTCACTATGTGTATGTCTGGGGCCTACAGAGGCTAAAATACAGTGTCAGATTCCCTGGGACAGGAGTTACAGATGAATGTGAACCACTGTTCTGGGAACCAAACCCGGATCCTCTCTCTGTAAGGGCAGCCAGTGTTCTTTAAACTGCTGAGCCATCTTTTCAGTTCCTCATACTTCTGGATTTTTTTTAAAATCCCAATAACATAACCATAATAGCTTTTTGTTTGTTTTTCAAGATAAGGTTTCTCTATGTAACAACCCTGGCTGTCCTGGAACTTGCTCTGTAGACAAGGCTGGCCTTGAACTTTCGCCTATCTCTACCTCCGGAACGCTTGGACTAAAGGTGTGTGGTACCACTGCAGCCCAGGAAATCACACCAGTTCTTATTTGAAGGTCAGGTCTCCCAATTTCTAGTTTTAGAGGGACTCTTTCCAAAATTTGGTATATTTTAATAATACAATGTGGGGGCTGGAGAGAGAGTTCAGAGGTTAGGAGCAAATACTGCTCTTCCTGAGGACCTGGGTCTGGGTCCCAACACTCCTGCTGGGCAGTTCACAACTACCTCCAATTCCAGCTTCTGGGATAGATGCCCTTTTCTGTCTCCATGGGCCACTGCACATACAGATAGTTTATTTTTTAATTTTAATCCCCCTTTTTAAAAAGATTTATGTATTTATTTATTATGAATACAACATCCTGCCTCCATGTCTGTCTGCAAGCCAGAAGAGGATACCAGATCTCATTATAGATGGCTGTGAATCACCATGTGGTTGCTGGGAATTGAACTCAGGACCTCTGGAAGAGCAGTCAGTGCTCTTGACCTCTGAGCCATCTCTCCAGCACCCCCCCTTTTTTTTAAACAAGGTCTCACTATGTAGCATTGCTTGACCTAGGCTACGTAGCTATTTAGACCAGTCAGCCTCGAACTCATAGTTATCTACCTGCCTCTGCCTCTAGAGTGTTTTTACACCTTTTCAAAAATATAATGTGATTCTAAGTTTTGGACTAAAACCTTCAGTATATGGAATCATTACTATGATCAAGTAAAATAGGCTCATTTAACACAAACGGAAAACGCATAAAGCAGTGAACAAGTTTTAAACCACCTATATATCCTCATCCAAAATAGTTCATTGTAGGGGTGAGCCCATAATACTATCCATGCCCCTATGGGACAGGGTACCAGGGACAGGTGAGGATATAAAAAGAAAGGAAAAGCAAAAGCACTCTTTCTTGGAAGCCCACCGCGCTTCTCGTCTTGCCAGCTTGTGTGTAAGTTTTATCCAGTTAATAAATGTATTAGTTTCTCCATTGCATTGACTCCCTCGTCAGTTCAGCTCTTGGATGCCTGTAGGATTTTCTTACATTAAAGAGGGACCCTGCCCCCGTGCTATTTTTTGTTAATGTATCCTTCCCCAGTATAGAGAAAATACTAAATATCCTTTAGCCACCTCATTTTAAAGGACACAGCAAGGAATTCCATTGAGCAAATGTGTGATTATTTATATAACCATATTCCTAATTTAGGACTTTTACGTTAAACACTGAGTGGTCGTGGGGCACGGAATGACTTCAGAATCTGAAGTCATTGCTTGTGACCTTGTGAGGTCCGGAGAAGCTAGGTCACTAGACTGGGTTTTAGGTACACGTGCATGCAAAACAGATGATCAGCACGATCGATCGTGACGGGGGCAGAAAACCATGGACCCTCAGAGTACGATTTTGGAGCTCCGCGAGTCAGAGGGTGGGGGTTTTCCGCAGGCTAAGGACACGGAATGAGTGGAAGCCGAGACCCACGGATCAGAAACGGAAATCCTGGACCTCAGAGGCGCACCACACAGGCCCTGGTGCGTCGCCACTCAGCACCAACAGAGGGCGCCATGTACCCAGTAGTTTGTGGTGGGCGGCTCCCAGCTGCCTGCCAGATGTGAGTAGCAGCACTGCAGGAGGCGCGAAGCTTTACTTGAGCCCCTGCAGACTAACCCGCAGGGAAGAGCAGGGAGGAAGGGCAGGGGACAGGGTGGTGGCAGAAAGCTCCAATGCCGATCCTCTGCAGATTCCCCGATTGCTTTTCTTCGCCGGACCGAAAAGGGGAACCCTCTTGCCCAGAGGGGGCGCCGTTTTGTGACTTCCACAAAATATCAGTTACTTGCTGGAGGCTGCCCCGTGGCTCAGCAAGACCAAGCTGGGTTCATCGGTCAGGGCGTGGGGCCAGGAGAGACCCACGCGGCAGCCTGCGGTGGAAAAAAGAATAGGCCTTAAGGCCTTGAACTTTTTGAGTACACACAGCCAGCCCTGGACCTCAGACGTTGCAAAACACAAACTCACTCACTCACTCTCTTTCTCTCTCTCTCTCTCTCTCTCTCTCTCTCTCTCTCTCTCTCTCTCTCTCTCTCTCTCTCTCTCTCTCTCTCTCTCTCTCTCTCTTTCTGCAGACTGAAGCTCCAGATGAGGACCCTGGGGGTCAAGGACACCCCAAGACCCCACCTTCTTGATTTGTCTGCTGTCCCCATCCCCAACCTCTCCCGGGTCTCCGAGGTAAACCTGCTGGGCAAAGCTGTAATTGGCAGTAGACTGGGCCAGGCAGAGGCCGGACGGGAGGCACAGGGTTGGGCGAGGGGCTTAATTTCAGGGCAGTGGCTAGCAGTATGGGCTTCAACGCTACCGGAAGTGGAGTAGGGCAGGCCTCTTAGCTCCACAGGCTCGACATGGAATAGCCAAAAGGGGTTATTGGAAGTCCCTTCACTGGAAACGGGGCCTTGAACCCCAAGAAGAGCGCAGGAGGAGGAAAGGGATCCTTCAGAAGAGCTGGAATAGAGGAGAGGACAGATTCCAAGCTTCCCCGCCCCAACCTCAGAAACCCTGGTTCATCTTGTCCGAGACTCCTCCCTTGTTCTGACCATCCCCTGCTCCCCTTTCTGCCGCCCCCGTCACCCCCCTTCTCGTGTCCCCAGGGCGCTCCCACCCTGGGGAAGAATGTGCCCTCCTAGCTCACCCTTACCATGGTAACGGCACACCCCCACCCCCGCGCACCACAGCAGCGGGGCCTGGCCCCGCGGGCGGCGAGAAGTGGGGGGCGGGGTTACCTCCCAGGCCCGCGGACACACCTCGACGGCCCTGGTTGCCACAGCAACCGGGGGCGTTGCGAATACGCAGTCTCGAAACAGCAAAAGGTTCTCTTCCATACCCCTTACTCTTTTAATTCACCAGCAAAGGACTCTGGACTGGATCCAAAGAGGGATCCTAGGGTGACCCAGATTCCGTCCTCAGATGCTCAGAAAGAAAAGAAAGCCCAAGAGTCCCAGAGAGCCTGGCACCTGAAAAAGGATCTCCCTGTCGCCAACCTGTCCCCCTCCCCCAGCAGAACCCAAGGCGGGCGCTGGCAGCAGGAAGCTGGGGAAGGACGGGAGGTACGCAGGCCCCACAGTGGAGCTGTGATTACAGGGACCTGTCCCTCCCGCCCCCGGCTCCCACTCTCATTAAGTCATTTTTTCCCCTGTTGGAAAGTCCCCGTGCCTTGAGCGCAAGGGATGGGGCGACCGCAGGCAGCTGCCGGCAACCACATGTGAAGGGGGTGGGAAGAGAAGGGGGGGGGCTAGACTGGGGCCTGGCCACTCTCCAAAGTGGAAGGCCCCCTGCCAGAGGCTAGCTGGGGGCGCATTAATTCAGAGAGTGGATAGGGAGGGGGCTCCTGAATGACAGACCACCTTGACCTTGCTTCTCACCCAGGTACTCTGCCGCTGGCAAGTGATCTTTTCACACCCTGCCCTTTTAGGTCCCCTTGGGCGACTGAAACACCAGATGCTTGGGTTCTCCTCACACTCCAGCACGCAGTTTCTCCCTGACCTTAACCCCAGCGCTGTGGCCATCAGTCCACCGGCCCCATTTGCTGTTCGTTCCCTCCCTCCCCCCTTTTGAGGACAGTACACCCCACTCAGTCCTGCCCTCGAAGAAACAACCTGGTGTTTCTCAGGTCAAAGGTGTATCGAGGCAAAGGATGTATTTTCTTCCTTGGAATGATTCCTGGTCACTTTCCGTTCACATTCCAAATTTCACCTCTGCTAATTTCCAAGTTCTCCAGCCCATCCCCTCCCTAAATAAATGAGTGCATTCATTTCAGCTCATTTCCACTTATTTCCAATCAGCATACCATTCCCACTGCACCCTTCAGCCAGTGTACATAAGCCCAGGATCCATCTTCCCATCATAAGGCACTCTGCTGCTAGGGGATCCCGCTTGGTCCCAGGACTCAGCTTCTGGTCCAGACAGTGAGGTTTGGTGGTAACTTAGGGGAATATGACTTTGTTCCTTCCCCGACTTTACAGGTCACACTAGCATATATCAGACCACCGACTGCCCACTGGAACTCAATGTCCAGGTCCCTGCCTCCTCCTTCTGCCCTGGTCTCACTCCAGGGAACATGTTCTGCAGTGGGCTGTTTCTGCCTTATCTCCAAACTCCATCCCATAATGCTCACTTCCAGCCTCCCTTCCCTAAATTCTGAAAGGCAGAGGGCAAGGACAAGGATTCTGCTGGGCTTGGGACTGTCCCTCTGTCCCCAATTTCCCCAGCACACCTCTCTTCCTCCACAGGCTGAGAGGGAAGGAGGGCAGCCCAGCCCCTACAGTTCTCTCCGGGATGAACAACAGGAAAGGAATGAAGCAGGTGTGTCTGTCTGCTCTTGCCTACTACCCCTCCTCCCCAGAGACACTCACCCACCTGCCTGTGGGGCAGTTTGGGAGGTGGGGATGGGTCGAGAAAACCCTGCTCTCCACAAAGGCAGCAGAACTGGGCACTTGAAAGGTCCTGATGCCCGAGGCATGCCCAGGGGCTGCTGAAATCCGGCAGTTAAATGACTGGGAGCTGAGAGCTATCAAGTAGACTCAATCTTCCATCTAGAGGGCAAACAGAGGTGCGTGTTCCAGAGTCATGCCCTCAAGGGATAAGGGCAAGGAAATATGGAGGAGAGGTCTGTGAAAACTGGCCTTTGGAACAAGACTTTGTCTCTGCTTTGTTTGTCAATGTGGATGCCATTAGATGATAAATGGAGGCATCCAGCAAGGCCACTAACTGAACAATGTGTCTGGATATGGTAGATAAATTGCTCTGCCTGAGATCTTTAGGGTCTGTTCTAGAAAGTCATCAGACTTGAGCCAAAGTGAATGCAAGCATGAACCCAAATTCCAGCTCAACAGTGTCCAGGTAGAAGTGTAAGATCGGGGACAGGTTCTAACCTGCTATATGACACCTTGAGCTTTGGCTCTGGGGAAATGGGGGGCTCAGGAAGGCTGCTTACCCACCCCCAGCTTTCTTGCCTGGACTCCAGAGCCCAGCCCCAGACGGTGAGTCTGCCACCCTCCCCCACCTCCCTATTCCCAGCCGCACCTCCTGGCCCCACCTGCTCCCTGGGGCGCTAGGCTAGGTTGAGCTGGGTCTTGCCAGGATTACTCTTCTCAGAGTGCCTCCTGTCTCTGCTGTCGGCTGCTGCTGGGCACAGCCACTCGTCCTGGCTTGTGGCAAAGGGCTCAGGTACAAAGTGTGTGGTTAGAGTTCTGGCATCCAGGGCTCTGGGTCCCTGGACCCCATTCCTTCTAGATATCCCTACTGCTGTCATTCAATCCAGGCTTCGGCTAGGTATTAGCTGTAGTCCCCGTAGCCTGCTTTCTGGCTATCATCCTGTCTCCATTCCAGCCAGATCCCTGTGCCTGTGGGAATCAGAGTACAACTGCTTAAGACTGCTTGCTTCTTCTCTGCAGATTCTTCTGAAATAAAACCCAGTTCTTATCCCAGCTGCCTCCAACCTCAGATCTCTGCTATCAGCTTCTGATTTCTACTCTTCCAAACACGGAGACTGCTCTGCTCCTCCTCCAACAGGTGGAGGTCTCTTTGCCCTCAGACCTTTGGGTTCCCATAGCCTGTCTGGAAAGCCCTTCCCAGGCTCCATAGGCTCTCCCTCACCTTGCCGTTCTCGTTCTCATCTTCTAAAGCACAATTCAGAAGTCTCCCTGGCAGATAGTTTTAGCAGAAAGTGCCCCATTCCCCACAAATCAGCGTATACTCAGCACCTTGCTTAGTTGCCCCCATAGCCCATAACACTGCCTGAAATAATCTTGTTTGTGTGTTTACTGGTTTATAGTCCACCTCCCTTAGTAAGCCTGTAAACTCCAGAAGGCTTCTCTTTCCCCAGAGAGTGCCACAAAAGAGTGTGCAAAATAAATATCCTTTAAATGAACAATAGGGGCAGAAGCCTACTCAGGAGGGTATCTGGGGTCTTACAGAATCACTTCAGCCTGATATGCCTATTTCTTCATTTTAGTTTACTTCCCCGTGCCCATCAGCTTCAGTGCACTGCCTGCCACTTAGGTGGGGGGGGGGGTGACAGGAAATAGGCCTGCCAGGCTGGGCTGCTTTGGTGACATGTCTTAGGGTGTGGGGCAGTCTCCAACATCCATCACCCCCGGCTGTCTGAGCTAGGAACTGGAAGAGGGGAACCCACAGAGTGGGTGTCAGTCAGGTTTAGACTGTCTGGTGATTGCAGATCTTGAGAGCAGGAAGAGCCAACCGCCTCTCTCAGGAGCCAAGGATGCTGCTGCCTGGCCCAGATGCTAGCGGCAGAAGCCAGGCACCACCAGATGGAGAACCTTTGCTGAGACCCAGAGGAGCCTGGGCCCGCTCACTTGCAGACGCTGACCCACTCGGTGATTCGGCATTCTTCGCAGACCACGAAGCAGCACCAGTGGAAACGGCAGTGGCAGCGCTCACTGCGCGTCTGGCGCAGGATGTTGTGACCACGGCCACAGCACATGCTGCCGCAGCCGTCAGGGCCGGAGCTGCTCTTATTACACAGGCGGCCCACAGTGCCCGCCGAGTCCAGGCGCGGCTCGCGCTCACAGAAGTCGGGAGATTTCTCAAAGTAGACCAAGTCGGAATGGCTGGCTCTTCGGCGCAGCCCTGAAGTGCCGGGAGCTGGCGAGGGAGCCCCAGAGGCGGGGCCGGGCTCCAGCTGGCCGCCGTTGCGGTTGTGCGGCCGGATGAGAGTGGCGCGGTGGAAGCGATTGCGCAGCAGCGCCCCCACTGCACGAAACTCAGGAGTCACCTGCCAGCAGGTCTTGAGCTGGCAGCTGCCTGAGGTGCCATGGCACTTGCATTTTCGCCGCATGTTCTCCATCACCGCCTGCAGAGGGAGGCACCGAGAGGGATGAGGCATCCAGAGTCCCAGCCCTCTTCCAGCCAGAGGCTGGAAACCGCTTCCCATTGTACAGAAGCATTACTGAGGTCTGAATCTGGGGCTCAGAACTTCAGGCTCTTCTGCAACCTTCCCACCTACCTCGCATCCGGCTAGACCCCGGGGGAATTCCCTCCTTCGAGCTCCTTCCTTCCTTGCCAGCCTTTCCAGTAACTGCAAGGGGGCCCTTGGGCCTGGGGGTTCTTGCTTCCTGAGCCCTGGGGGATCCTAAATCTTTAGGGAAATTCCCTCTCCTTTCCCTGGAGCAAGGAGGCGCCTGCTCACCTACACCCCAAAGCCTTTGGCCTCCCTCCAGGTGGTGAGTGAGAAAGGCCCCCTCCCACAGCTGTGCCCCGCAGCTCTTTGCAGGGAACCAGGTGTGGGGAGCGGACAGGAGCTAAGGGGACATTCCCCTTCCCACTATTCCACCTCGAGCTTACTTACTCTGTTCATACTGAGTGACAACAGGTGCCAAAGCATTCCCCGGATGTAGAACAAACCCAGACAACTAACTTGTCAGCCCTATGGGAGCAGATGGTTTCCCAGGTCTCTATGGGACACCTACTTGCCACTCACTCAGTGGTCAACTTGTTCTAGGGTCTCCTCCCAAAGAATCCCTTAGTGTTACCCTCATAGGCACCCCCATATTGTCCATATTTTCCACCACCCCCACTTCAAATACTCTTAAGGAAAACAAGGATCTGGGATCTTCAAAACTTCGCAAGAAGGCCATAAGGCAGGGAGCCTACATGTGTAGCCGGTGGTGTCAGTGCCACGTGACCCCCCCCCACGCACACACACTCCACACCCCCCAAAGCTTCCCTAGGCCAACATCTCCAGAACATCTGCTTCCCACAGGCTGCAGCCATTAATTAACCACTTTAACAAGGACAAGGAGGAGGCCCTGCTGGGCTGGGCTGGGGTGGTATCAGGAGCTTGGGAAAGGAGCCCCATGCACAGGGCAGGGCTGGGCGGGAGCTGGATGGGACCTGAGCATAAGCATGCCTCAGTTCTCCCTCACCCTAAGCCAAGATGGAAGTTGCTGACTCAGCTGCACAGAGGGAAGGTGAACTGGAGTGGGCTAAGAGGCCAAGGGGACAAGAGGGTACAGTGAGGGGAAGCTGGGGACTGGGCTGAGCAGACCGGAAGGGTCAGGAAGAGGAAGGAAAGTTTTCCATTGACTGGGGATGGAGCCCGAGTCTCTACCACTCTCCCACCTCAGGCAAGTTTCTTAGTCATCCTGTGCCTTGGTTTCCAAATCCGAGCATGTTGTTATTGAGAGTATTGACATTATAGGTAAGTAGTAGGTAGGCTGATAGCTCAGGACAAATGCCTAACACATAGCAAGGCTTGATAAATTCAATCTATTATTCTTTTCCTCCCTTCTGTGTTTATGTCTGTGTATTATTATTGGTGGTGTTACTTTCATACGAAGGAACTTTAAGGTAGTATGGGCATTCCAGAAAAAGGAGAAAGAAGGTAGGGACCTATAACAGGGGCCCTCAGTCGGCAGGAATCCGCTGCTGGGAGACGGAACTTAAAGCTCTCCGAGCCATAAAACATTTAGAGTTGGGCTACATGATGGGTGGTCTTGTTCACCTATCTGGCTCTCCAGAGGAGGAGCCTGTGGCAGCCCAGGTCCTGAATGCCAGCCTACTCCTTTCTCTGTTGGTCATCAGAGAAAAATGGGAGGAGCAAGTTATTCCACATGGGGCTCTTTCAACCCTCTGCTTCCCAGGCCCACTGCAATGCTCCAGCGCATAGTACTAGGTCCCCACGGCTGAATTCTTGCTGGCTGAATTAAGAGAGGGCTGTGAGTTACTGAACTGGGGGAAAATAGAGTGATTCCTAGAAGCGGGAGTGAATGCGGAGCTCCCTTTGCAGTGGGAGCGTGACTGTGAATCTCACCTGCCTGCCGACACGGTTGTTGTGGAGTCTCATGCGCGCGTGGATGTCTCTGTGAGGCTCCCGGGAGTCCAGAAAGTCCTTGGAGAAGCGTTCTCCGAAGCCCACATCCGGGCTGCAGCCACCCCACTCCCAGGAGTCCTGCAGGCCTGGGCTGGCAGGGGGCAAAGCAGGGTGTTCTGGGACCCCATGGCTCAAGCCCTTACCGCGCTGCAGCGCATCCAGCTGCAGGCGGTGCAACTTCCGACGGAAGGCTTCTTCGTCCCCACGCCTGGAGGCGTCGCAACCGCAAGCCTGTAGTTTACCCAGGGCGCACGCGTTGGACACTGCATGCACCACCCCGGCAGCTGCTATGGCGTAGGCAAAAGCACTCTCTCGAAAACCTGTTGCAAGGGATTGGAGAGATGGCTTAGCGGTTAAGAGCTCTAGCTGCACTTCTAAAGGACCTGGGTTCGATTCCCAGCACTCACATGCAGTTCGCGACTGCCTGTTCCTCACACATACATGCAAGCAAAATACTAATACACATAAGATAAAAATAAATCATTAAGGAAAAAGAGAACCCTCACAAGATACAAAGAAAACATGGTAGAAATGGCTGGGTGTAGATGGCTCACTGGCATTTGGAAGGGGACAGGAATTACACTCCCTCCTCTTTTTCATTAATACCTCCTTAGCAAGCTTGGGATTTGTATGTCTGGATCTTTCCTCTAGGGCAGAAAATGCCTGGCAAACACATTCTTTTTCAGATCAGGCACTTAATCTATTACCTTTCACGGTGATATCTGCAATTTTAAAATAGCCTGGAGAAAGAGGGTGCCGGTTAACCCAAAGAGTAAATTACAAGTGATGGAATTCCAGACCCTAGGAGATGCCAGGGGGCAGCAGGCTAAGATCATCTGCCCTACCCCAGCCTGGAACCCTCCCTCCCTGATGGTTTTTTATCTGGATCCACAGGACATGACTGAGAAAAAGAGAGTACCCTCTCATATCCTGGTCACCCTGCCTAAGTCCAGGATTGGGTCTGCTGGTAACTTCTGAAGGGAGGTGCAGGTGAACCCAGTGGCATCTGGCGTGTAGCAGGCAGGGCTGCAAACTGAGTGGGAAGACAGATTCTGCTTCTCATTAGAGGCTTAGGAGGCAAAGCTTAGGAGGTCTCTCTGATTGAGACCCTCACAGGGCCCTGGGATGTGCTAACCTGGCCTGGTGCCTGTCTGTACTGTTTTCCTTTTGGGTACCCCAGCCTGAGCCATCTCCTGAGAGGGCCCTGGACCTGTACCAGGAGAGGCCTACTCAGAGAGGAAGGTCCAGCTCTCAGACCTACAGGACACTTTCTGCTTATTCTCCATTGGGAAAGTGCTAGCTAGAAGCAGCTTTTAGTACAAGCCTGTGTCTCATCTATGGACCCTGGAGGGGGCAGGCAATGAGAGAAGCCAGAACTGCCTTACCAAAGTGAAGAATCCATCTGTGCCATAGACCCCTGCGGAAGAAACCCAACATATGCAGGAGGATGATGGCCTTGGAGGATACCAGAGGTTTACAAGAAACAGACGGGATCCTGCTACCCCAGAATCCAGGGCTGGGAGAACCTGTCCTCAGAGAGGCCTTCCAGGCTCTGGAGAGCCATCTGGGACTAGATAGAACCCCTAGTCCACTCCTCTCCTAAGCCTCACCCCCTGCATCACAAAGCTGGATCCTCTTCTTGCCCAGACAAATGATAATAAAGATTCCATGGTTTTTTTTGTTTGTTTGTTTTGTTTTTAGTGGCTAAGAGTTGATGTCTGCAGTCATATTGCTAGGGTTCAAATCTTGGCTCTTCTACTGTCTAGTTGCTAATAATTATATGACCTTGGCCAAGAGACTTAACCTCTTTGTGCCTCAGTTTCCTTCTCTGCAAACATGTGTTATTATCTAGCTGGTTGCTGTGCCAAGAATCAAACAAGTTATTAAATTTAAAGTACTTTGAATGGTGTCATACACATAGCAAGTACTACATAAACACTGCTGTTGTTGAGAAGTTCTTCTTGCTGTCTAATCGTGTTCAATTCTGCTACATTTTTACATCATTGTTTTTTGGGTTTT